GTGGGTACTGGAAATTGAATCCTGGTTCTCTGCAAGAGCAGTCAGTGCCCTTAACCACTGAACCATCTCTCCACCCCAGGAAAATAACTTTTAAAGATGCGTTCTCAAAACTATCTTTATACTAAAGCCAAGAGGCTAGAACTTTTGGGTTGTTTCTCTCACTCAGGATCCTGCAATGTTTTAGGCTCAAAATTGGCTTCTTGATTATTTTAGAATTGATTTTCCTACTATAAAGTGAGGACTGGAGTAGGGCACGTAATGCTGATGCCATGCCTGTCCAACAGCTACTGCTCAATAAAATTTTGCTGAATGAACAAATGATGCTTGAAAGCGATGATTCTCAGGAATCAAAATAAAAATCAAAGTGGGAAAAAGTCACAGAGTATGAAGAAGGAGCCAAGATATTATCCATAAGACTAAAGGGTATTTCATTTAATTGAAGGATACCCTGACAGAACAGAGTCAACCATTGTAATCAGTATTTTGGTTTGGTTTTTTTGTGTTTTGGTCTTTTGAGACAGGGTCTCCCTATAGCTCTAGCTGGCCTGTAACTCAAAGAAATCTGCTAGCCTCTGCCTCCTGGGATTAAAGGCACCCGACACTGCTATTGGCCATTTTGAGTTACTTTTATTCCATAGTTTTGTTTTTGTTTTATAAAGATTCTCCTGGTGTTCTAGCAGTGTGCTTACCTAGCATGTGAAAGGCTCTGGATTTAATTCCCCAGTATCATAAACAAACAAAAATCAATAACAATAAAACCCCCAAATCTTTAAATAGTTGGGGGCAACACTTGGCATTGAAAACAAAACAAGTCCTGTCTTTCTTTGAGGAACCTCACTAAGAATCTTGATTCCCACAATTGCCAACCATATCCTCATCAGTGGGTAAAACCATCACATAGAGTTGTGATAACACAGCCCTAACCCTGCTACATCAGATTATTTCAGAGAGCTCCCCTGGTTCCTTCTTAGGGTTTGTATTTATCTAGGGTCATGAGGTCATCTGAAGGCATTCAATTTTTTTTTTTTTTACAAAAAAACAGTTTTCCAGTCCATAACTGAACTTCTAATTTCAGGACCCCTGACTTTCAGACAGTCTCTACAACCACCCACACTAAGTATGTGATTTTTTTCTATATCACATGTATGATCTGATAACATTATTAACAGACTGTTTCTGGTGGTTAATGACCCAGTGCCAATGAAGACAGTGTGTCTTATTTTACGTGAGCGATCTTGCTCAATCTGGTGATCATCTCTGTTTAATTCAGGCTCTAACTCTGTGACACTCAGGAAAGAGGACATAATGGGTGGTTCTTCTCTCCCTGTGTAGGTCCCAGTGTCAGATAAAGAAAACCAAAAAACCAACACTCAACCTCCTAAATAGGCCATGCTCTTATTCACTGCAGTGGGCCTGGCTGCATTTGTCTGTTACACCTTAAAAGTTCAACAAGTCACAAATTCAACATTTCTTTTCCTACCTTTCAATCTGAATTTCACAGTTTGTCTTTATTAATGTTGATCTGTTGCCATTAAGTCATATATAGTGCAAGGAACCAATTGAAGTAAATATATATAGTAAAGTATTGCTAAGGAATGTAATATTCAGATGAATTGATCTTCAATGATATCCTAATGCTTCTTTCAAATAATGACTTTCCACTGAATCTTGCTCATCTAGGAATTTTTTTCTATTATGTCAGTTTCATGGAGGCAGAGTCTCTGCTTTAAAATTTCATGTGAGCAGCAAGCATGGACAAACTTGTCCTTAAATGCAATAGTTTGCATGCTATACTTCACGTCTTTAAAGTAATTTTTATTATTCTTTCCTATCTAAGTAAAAAAAAAAAAATTGTAAAGAATGTGTATGGGGTTGAAGAGATGGCTCAGAGGTTAAGAGCCCTGACTGATTTTGCAGAGGACCATGGTTAGGTTCCCAGCACCCACATGGTGGCTGACAATTATGGTAACTCGTCCCAGGGGTTCCGATGTCTTTCTTCTGACCTCCATGAGCATTGCACAACAGGGATGCATTTATATAAATATGCTTGTACACATAAAATAAAAGTAATAAGTAAAATATGTTTTAAAAACATGAAGATATGTAAGAAAATGCACCAGTGTCTGTCCACTAAAATTTTAAACCATCAGTTATTTATCCAGATAAATTCAGTAACACACTTATGGAAACTTGTTTTTACTTGAGATACAGTAATTTAGGATAGCTCTCTCTACCTTTCTTTGAGCTGTGTAATAATATCTCTATAAAATATCAAATTCTACATTAGGGTTAAGTTGTGCCACGAGATTATATTCTCAAGAAGGCAGAAAGTTGACAGTAAATTAACTAATAAAGAGAAAATAGATTTTAAATACAACCACTGAAATTCAATAAACTGTTCCTCAAGACTTTGAATTCTTAATACATGTAAAAGTTGTGGTTACCTTGTTTTCTATGCTTAACACCCACTACACAGTCTACCATTTAGTTAGGGTCCAAGTGTCTCAACCAAGTAAATGAATCATTTTTTCTTTTCAATCTAACATCAAAAACCAGTAAAAATTTTAAAGGTTGGCAAGGAAGTCTTCTTAGATTTGTCCACTAGGTGGCGAGCAGGGACCACACTTCACCCTACACCACCACAGGAGCTCCCATTCAGGGCGTAAAGAACTGTATTATTAATTTATACCATGCAGTCGTCTCTACACCTAGTATTTATTTAACCAGCTGTTTCCTCTAATCCTCCTTAAACACTGTTGATTAAAATTTCACGTATATTCTGGTCTTTGTTTTTCCCCATTTCCCCCAACATTTTGTTACCTTTTAAATGACAGGGTAAGTACATTTCAGTAACGCAGGTAAACTAAGTGATGTGGTTACTGATAATGACTACAGAACGTCGGGAAATTAATTAGAAGCAAGAGAAGACTATTATATGAAAGTCATTTTCGAGTGTGTCTGTGGCTGCTGTTGGAATTTTAATTGGTGGGATACCATTAATCTTAAAAAATGTAATCTGGAAAAATACAGTATGTATTGAGTAAAAGGAAATGAAGACTAGTATTTTCTGAAGGGAGTCATTTTCTGCATACGACTCTTGTGCATCTTTACAACGAAGTGCAAAAGATTTATAATTCAAAAGACATCTTCAAGGGCTCAGAAAATGCCACTATTCCACACCCAAAATGCTAAAAGGGAAGACTGTTAAGAAGACCGTCTATTGAAGGATTTTTTTTTTCTGGTACTCTGAATGTATTTATCCTGGATGTGTTACTTGCTCCCAGAGGCAGGAAAATGAACCAAAACCACGAGGGATAGAATGAATCGATTCTTCTCCATGGAAGTTTCTTCAGCACTTCTAAATTCACGTCAGTCATTCCTCTGAGAGACAGGGCCTTGTTGGAAATAAATGGTCCACTTCATAAGAACATGATGTTACCCCTTCTCATAGGCATCCCAGGCCCAGTGGGCACTCCTGTCTTGCATACTGGCCTCTGGGGACATTCCTCCCATGGACTAGTAGTCTCTTAAGACTGTTGTCTTTCTCCTGATCCTTAAGTTTACTCTTACTAAGTTTGTTTTTCTCAATGTTTTCTATTTCTAAGTAATTTTCAGTTTACTAAAGAGGTCACCAGAAGGAAAAAAAATATAAAATAAGTCCATTCAATTAGCTGAAACAGTTAACAAATTTAAGAATATATATGTATATTATATGTATGACCAAAAATTAAAACTTAATACTCAAGAGTCCTTTGAAATACATTTCATTTTATTAAGTGAAATGAAAAATTGTCTCATTCAAATAGAGCTGAAGTTAAGAACGGATGTAAAGATTAAGAAACCTCATTTAGACATTATCCAGAGAGAAGTATGACGATGATGAATTTTGTTAGCTAATCTTCCTACTTCATGATATCATTAAAATATTAATGTTACTGAAATGTGTATAAAATTACTGAAAATTTATAATACTGAAATAATCAAATAGAAATGGTTGCCAGAGACTACATTTGCAGTGAATAAATATTACATTCATCAGGAAATTAATTCACAGGCTTTATTTCTTAATGACCATTAGCTTCTAAGAAGTCAGCCAGTATGTTTGATTTTATGACATCACACTGGAACAAGCACAGGAACATTTTCCACCCTCAAAATTCCCAAATGTACTGGCTACTTTGTGTATTTTTCCAGTGATAAATGAAAATAAAACAACTTATTTTCAAAATAAAAAACATCTTATTTTGAACGCAATGACCATATGCAATGGAAGAAAACAGTTTAATCCGATCCTGCAAGTTCAGGTTTGCTTTCAGTAGTGAATGATTTCAACAAATAACTCTTAAAGAAATTACCACTTTTAAAAGTGCTTAACAGCTACAACTTGAAGTTTTTTTAGCACCTTGAAATTTTCCATTGACATCACTATGTATTAAACCTGTCATATCTACCTGGTCTTAATTTTATAATTACCAGGAGAAACCTAGACTAAAAATAATACCATTTCAAAGATTATTAATCTAATAGGCATTACCTATAACTGAAGTAGCTTTCCTTTTCACATAAACCTGTATATTCAGTGAGTCAGAATTCATAAATCTGGAATGGACATCCCATCCCAAGCTCTTTTTGGCTTGTACTCTCCCTTCCTGTCTCTCAAGTGCTATAAAAATACGTTAAAACACCAATGGAAAAGCCCCCACTTGGAAGTATGTACCTATCAAATGGACATTAACTCTAGCAAAAGTGAACAAAACTAGAGTTAATTCTTTCTCCACATCTAGACTGAGCCTGTTTAGTGCAATGCTATTCTCCCTGACAACAAATTTTTAAAAAGTAGAGGTATGATGGTCTGGAGGGATAGCATCACCCTTTAAGGGTTAAGGTTAGCAACCAAAAAGTAAAGGTGTTATGTTAAACAAAAACTAATTTGTTTAATGTGTACTATTAAACCAAGATGTATCAGAAAGAAGAAAATAAAGATATTATGGAAGTTTTACCTTATCCTGAAATGCAGAAGTTCAGATGCTTTCAAGTCCCACTGAAGTTGGAAGCTGGACGTCAAGTGAAGCTAGCGCTCCTCCTCACCTTAAGTTTGTCTCTGGAGGAGTGTGGGTGTGGGTGTGTGCCTCGGCCCGCGCCTCCCTGCAGAATGTCTCTTTGTGGTGCTGAATGGCAGAGGTCCTGATCCTAGGAAGAAGGAAGCACTTTCTAACTAAGAGCAGAAGAAAAAGCAAAGCGTCACTAGGAGAGTTCTCCTCCCAGATCCCTAATTACAGCCTAACGTGCACTTCATACAAACTTCAGGGGGTGGGCGGGGAAGGAGGGGCAGCTTGGTGCCCAGACCTTGTAAAACAGCAGCTTCTTAGATGAGTTTCCCCTCTGCTCAGATCTGGGAGGATCCGGCTCTGGAGTGCAGAAAAGCAGCCGCCAGAACCATAAGCCCCCACCCACACCATACCTCCTACTCCTTCTACTCTGGTATGTCCACAGGAGATGCAGCAAGCGGTCTATGGAATGGGCTGTGAGGCCGGCTGACTTCCCAACACAATTGTCACCTTGTTATTTTAGTCTCTGTTTAAAAGGAAAAACCAAGAGTGGGAGAAATCCTTTCTTAACAGACAAGGATAACAGCACATCAAACTTGCTAAACTGGAAGCTTCCTAAACTTTTACATAAATCTCCAGGGGCATATTTTGTTGCTGTTGTTTGCTGGACTCAGTATCAATGTTGGACAAAATCTCCACTAACACACAACTGCCATTGTATCCTTAGATGACAGCACTTAAAGAACCTGGATTTGTTTATAGAGTGAGGAATGCAAGGGGGAGACGGGATGGGTGGGATCCACACACTTAGGATTAGAA